TCACGGTCGAGTGATTGACGGGGCTTTAGTTCATTTCTGTTTTTTTCTTAAAAAAAATTCCTACAGTCTTCATCATGTCATCATAATGGAAAATTGAAACGGTGGTTAGAAGGGTGGATGGTAGGAGGATGAGAAACTTCAGTAAAGGATTGGGTGAGAAGTGAATAATGCCGGAAAAGGATAAAAGCAGAGAGAAACTAGAAGAGAAATGTGATTATGAAAGTTAGTACGAAGCCATCTTTTTAGAAAGAAATGACAATTAATGACGAAAATAGTTCTACGTCTTTTTACTAAGCTAAAAGGAAATCTCCTTTCAAAATCTGATGTAACAAGTTTTTGTGATGTGTGGGTCTAGCCGAAGGCAGGAAATCTGTTAGGTTGAAGCTTTTAATATATTGAAGAGGTACTTTAAGGTGGAAGTGATGTACGACCCGTGGACTAGCTTACGAGCTGCCTGAACGTCGTCTTGTTATCAATCATCCATGCTAGCAGCAGGGGAAGCTAGTGGCAAACACATGCTGCGCGCAGCGCCCTCCGAGGCCAGCTAGTCGGCAAGCCTAAGACGGGGATGCTGAATGGAGGACGTGGGTTCAGACAAGGCGTGACATCTCCCAGTCGAACTGGCGCTCAGATACCGTCCTAATGAGGCAGAGATCTCCCGCAAAATGTCCGTGTTCGACTCGCAGAGAATTCTCACACTGTTCGTGTACAGAATACTAGAACATAACGCCTTTTGGTGATAACGTAGCGGCCAGGACTAAAAAAAAAACATGCAGTACTAAGGCATTAGAAGTAAGTAAAGTAAAGCTATCCTTGTACCAGGCCTTGAAGGCCATAGGGTTGTGAGACGTTGAGGGTCCCACACTATCTAGACAATCGGCTCAAAGATGGCGGTAAGGTTGTCAGCCTTACGCGCCGGCCGCGCTTTACTCCCCAGGAAAATTATTTAATTAACTCCTGGTACTCATTTCTGTTAAGGGCTGAGTAAACTCCAGGGCCTAGAAGCCAAGTGCCAAAAGTTTACTGCCGCTGATATCAAAATCTGTTATCGCGTACGAATTTGGACTAATTCCATTCGCATCCTATGTTCCTAACCTTCCTCTCTAACATATATCTTAATGTTATCTTGTCACTGCCTTCCCGGTTTCTCAAGCGATAACTTTTGAAGAGGTTTCCGGAACAGAACGCTATATGTATTCCTGGGTTCTTGAACCCGAGATTTCCAGCCCATTGTATGAGGTAAAAGGTAAGGACAAAGCTGTCCCTGTATTTAACTAATTAAGCAGTGCTCCATGAAGGTGTATGGAGAAGTGGATATATAGACCCAGGTTTTCTTGTTCTCGGCACTACTTGAAGGTGAGTGGTCAGCTTCCCATCTCAACTGCCCCCGGTACCCATTCGATAGGAGGATCGGTAGACCCCAGGGCCGGTCTGGACGCCGTGGAGAAAAGAAAAATCTGGCACTGACAGTAAGCGAACCAAGGCCGTCCAGCGTAGCCCGTCGCTATACTGACTGAGGTATCCAAACTCCTTCCCAGCCCCTTCTAACGTCGTAAATTTAATAATACTAAAAACAGTAGGGGCGGGGTAAATCACTACTCTCCCGTCATGAGATCTGGTGTCCCATGGGTGTACAATCTACTTCTTAATTCCGAGTGTTTCGTTTTCAGTCACACTGTAGTTCAGAACCCAGACCATACACACATATAGAACAAGTGACCAAAAGGTTATCATTTTAAATTCCGAATGATCGGCCTCTTAGGACAATGGATGCAGTGCTTCAACTGTTTCATGCATTTATTCGTTCTCTGATTCTCTCTTGAAACCCACGTACGATATTTTTTTTTTGTTCCTAGAAGAAGAAGTTCTTAAAAATTCGTAGTTTATTTCAAACTAATTCCTTGGACCAGAATCCTTCTTGAGAAGCTAATAGTGTCCCGGCTACATCAGAAATCTCCAACATTTTATTGGAAATCGAAGGTTCATTGTTGTGTTCACAAGAATCTGCCACTGGACCCTGTGCCGAGCCAGATGAATCCAATCCACACCTTCCTGTCCTGTTTATTTTGGACTTATTTTAATATAATATCTTCGCCCAGATATTCCACGTGGTTTTCCTACAAAATTTTGAAAGCATTTCTTTTCCCTCCGCAAATTTCATTGATTTGGTCATTCAAATCATATTTGACTAAGAATAAAAATTGATAGGGAGCAGAGATAGCTCAGTCGGTATAGTGAGTGGAAACGGTCTGGACGACCGAGGGGTCGGAGTTGGAATCCTGGTAGGGTCAAGAATTTTTCTTCTCCACAGTGTCCAGACCGGCCCTGAGGACCGCCCAGCGTCCTATCCAATTGCTACCTGGAGCGCTTTCCTCGACGGTAAAGCGGCCTGGGCTTGAAGCTGACCGCTCATTTGCAGATGGTTCTGAGGACAATAAGATGTTCATCTATAAATCCACTCGCCTATAAGCCTTCATGGTTAAGTGCTTAATTAATTAAGCACAGGGGCAAATATTTACTTTCTATACAAATTAAGAAGCTCCTCATTATTAAGTTTTCTTGTCCCCTGTTTCTTCGAACCTCTGCTTGTAACACAGTAGTTGATAAGCTCAGCTTTCGCCTATTGTAATGCAGACGACTAAATAGAAAATATGATGGACTTAAACCTTAAATTGTTAATCTTCCTGATAATATTACGAAGTAATTAATCAATTCTTCCACCAGAACTGTAAAGATTGCCCTAGTAATTTAAGTTTATTTATGGAATATTGAAGATCATTTCCCCAAAACTATAACAGTCACATATGTATATCAAGGAAGGTCTTTTTTTGTTGTTTTGTTTTCTTTGCTTTGCTAAGCACCATCTAACACAAGCAAAGCTCAATAAACCAGGTTCTCGAGCAATACGCAAGAAACTGCATTTTGCTGATTGAAATAATTTGTAGAGATGTTTAAACTATGATATCTGGGGTCTTGAAATGTCTAGGTAGTCTCCAGAGAGATCACTCACCATCGCACCAAGTTCGGTCGCGGGAGGCTCCAGGGTGCCAAAATATATAGAGGAAAGAGAAACAGGTCCACACTCCTATTTTTATATGAGCGTAGTCATTGTATTAAAATTAGAAGTTTTGAAATTTGCGTTGTAGTAGAACCCAGTTGTACACTTCCTAGAGAAGTCTGAAAATTTGTGTTTGACATATTTCCTAGTATGTTTTATTTTCAAGACGTATTATCCATAAGAGGCACAAAAAGTAACCTATGAGAAAATGGCTCATCCCACCGAGATCCACCCGGTCCGAACTTGGACGGAAGATAGCTTTATGCATAAATGAAGTAATTCTTGTAAGGCAGACAATGTCGGGAGATTCTAGAACATGGTTACTAGTCTCGCAGGACTGGGAGCCAAGAATAACTGTGCTGGCGAGGACCAGCAGCAATTTTCTCTATTACTGATAGACCGATCTATCGACAGATCTGCAAAAGCTTAAAATTTAAAGTAACAGTACAGATAAGGGCTAACGTTAGATTTCATACATTTGAATGCCGGACTGCTGCCTAGAAATTAGTTTGCTTCCGGAAGGCCCTCATACTGACCAAACCTCATGAAGGTTTTCCCTAGTTTTATTCAGTCTCACGAAAAATTCTTAATTGGTATTCAAATTCCAAGTTGCACTGAATGCAGACCATCTAGTTTTAAGATCTAATCCGTCCTGACATAGCCCTCCCAACGTTGAGTCGAAATTTTGCTCTACTTCCAACATTACTATCAAAATTCCGATCACAAGCACTAAAGTCCCTGCTCAATTCTTTCGTCTGCTAGTAACAAAATCCACCTCCTGACTTTATCTTGTTCAGTTCCTAACGTTTCACCCTTTCTCAAAAGTACTTTTATCAGAGTGAGGAGGCGGCACTTCCTGGGAACCTTCAAAGCAGGATTTCCTTGTTACCTCTTGAAAATGTAGCGTCTGTCACTATTGCCGCCACTTTATCTTCTCTGGCTCCCTCTCTCTGCGTGTTGTATACCAAGCGAACACAACACTCAGACGACTCAGACAGCCTCAACTACGAACAAACGATCGGCCTCTGAAGAGTAGACAACTCCACATTGACACAGCTGGTCGCCCGAGAAGACTTTATTGTAGGTTTATACCATAGCCTTTAGCCCCATCAAGACCGGAGTCAAAAGCGGATTCAAATTTATATTACGACGGACGGTCAGTAGGCCAGCCTATCTTAGTGCCAAGCACCTATCTGGGGCCCAAGACCAGATTTTTTATTACTGTCAGACAGTTGTGGGTTTCTTGATGTGGGGCGTCCTCTCTGACAAGAGGAAGTGTCTGTCGTTCACAATTGCTGCTGGTCCTTGCCAGCGCAGTTATTTTAGGTCCCCGTCCCGTGGGAATCATGACTATATTTTAATGTCTCAGGTTCGAGACTTTCTCAACCTGGAGGGCCAGGTTCCCGTATTTATAACCACCAAGAACAGGATGGTCCAGTTATAACCCAAACCCCTGGGGTTCATTTTCGTCGCCTCCTACGACTTGGAGGGCCAGGTTCCCGTATTTATAACCACCAAGAACAGGATGGTCCAGTTATAACCCAAACCCCTGGGGTTCATTTTCGTCGCCTCTTACAACTTATTTGGTGGTATTCGAACCCGCCTCCACGTGGGGATATAAAAGACTGAATTTTCATATATAAGAATTCAGTTCGTACCTCGCAGGAAACATATTACATCTGCATTAAAAAGACCACATGTCAGTGATATTCAGGGAAACAGTCGCTGTTTATTGTGAGTACCATATGAAACACACAGATACGATCTGTGTGCAGAATGCAGGGTTTTAGTATTTAAAGCGTATACGTGTAGTAATCACTGAGCTTTAATGGGTCAGTTATTAAAATTACATACAGGACAAGGTAAAGCATCACTATCTGATGATGAGATGTCTTAGTCTTTCCTCCTGTCATATCAGTTATCAGCAGTCTGTTTTGTGCAGGTGTTCGTGGATTGCGTGGGGTGCAGATCACCGTCCCAGAGGCGGTTCCTACTGGCGATCTGGCGAGACTCAACTGTGACTACGACCTGGAGAAAGACCAGCTGTACACCATCAAATGGTACCGTGGAGACGAAGAATTTTACCGCTTCGTGCCCAAGGAATCACCACCAACCAGGGTGTTCCCACTGCAGGGTATTCACGTTGACGTAAGTACCCCTGCCAGAGTGACAGTTCGCACATTGTGTTAAGGAAATATGACCCAGGTGTGCTAGCCTAAATTGCAAAGCGGTGATTCTCAACCTTTTGCGTCTTGCGTCCCATAAGTTATTTTGTCAGATTACCACAGTCCTGCAGTAGTTACATGAAGGTCTCTCTTTTGCCAAGAAATGTATTTTTACGATTATGTATAATTCAGTATATTGTATCATATAGAGTCCTTTCTATGCAACGGCCGCGAGGTAAGCAAATACACCAGAGCCGTTTCTACACAACGGATCGACAAACACTTTCCCGCGGCAACGGATACACATGCAACAGACTTGTAGAAACAGTGTAGTTCCGCTAACAGTAACCTGAATTTAATTGCTCAAGCTTTTGCAAGGTTTATTAGAAGGAAAATTTGAGAGCAGAGAGATGAAGCTTCCCGGAATACAAGGAAGTCTTTATGTAACTGAGTTCAGTGTGATTCGGTTAATGTCGTTCGAGTCCTCATGTCCCTGGCCAACGGAGTGTTCATACCCCAACATCGAGACACGCTGGGATACACCGACGTACGTAATTTCTTGGTTCACGTTGTTCTGTTCCCCGCAATTATTTGTTCGGACATCCGGATACTATGGATAAGGTCGTTTGTTCCTTAATACGACAAACAGGGATCACTATGTAACTGCATGGAGTGACTTTGTGACGCATGTGTTGTCATTAACTCACGCGAAAACGGTTTTCTGCGCTGTTGTGAAATCACCAACGCTGTCACGGAGTTACCATGTTGACATTGAGTCATCCACACTGACATGGAGTCACCCACGTTGTCACTGAGTCATCCACGCTGTAACGGATTCACCTATAATGATATGGAATCATCCACCCTGTCATGGAGTCACCGATGCTTACACGGAGTCACCTACACTGTCAGAGTTTTATTCACGCTCTCACGGAGTCACCACTCTGACATGGAGTCACCTGTGCTGTCACAAAATAGCCCTGGTTTACGCTAAGCCGATGGATTTTACTTCAAGTATGGTACGTAACAGGGAAACAAAAGTAGGATTTGAAGTTCTTGCAGCGGTCGTTATAGAGAGTTCTGTTTTCTGGGATATAACGCCATGTATTCCGCTGAAAATCAACCTACAGTTCGAAGTACATGTCGCCTCAACATTCAAGTTAGAAACATAAAGCAAGCAAGAAACCATCCTGAAGTAGGCAGCTCTGCTTCTTATATGCTTCACGCTGAGTTTTCCGTGGCTTATTCTTTAACCCTGAAGATGAAGGCGACATATGCCTGCGAAACGTTGGTTCACTTCAAATTGAGTACTCGGCGTAATATAATTTGAATATTGGAATCTTCATGGGTTTTATAGTCTCCAGTTTTCAGAATCTTATTTAGAGATATTTGGCAGGGCACTTTGAACTGGAAGCGACCCCGCGAAAGTCTCCGTACAGAACACAAATACAGAGAAGCGCAGGTACACATCCGAGCCTCATCAGAGATTCGAACTCACACTCTCAGTGTTCGAGTGGTAGGAGACAGTGTACGCCTGAAGACAGCAAGGCAACTGTCACGTATCAGGGGATTACTCGAGAATCGTTTACGTAAAACCGCTTCAACGTCCGCATGTAGCTAGATAAAATGTTGCGTTATAAAAGACGTACTATTTACAGAAGAGTCATTTGTGAGAAATAAGATTGAAAAGTTTGATATTTCACCTTCTCCCGTGCAGTAAATACTATCCTTGTCTTTTGGGATGTGTTGCCGTATAGTGCGATAGAAAGGCATCAACAATTCGGAGGAACCTGCTGCATCCATCTTCAGGTTAGAACAATAACCAGTCTGAAGTAGATTGCAGTATGCTTCTAAGAGATTTCGGCGTACTTCTACCGGACTTCATGGCGTCACGTTTTAGAAGAATTTCGAGTCTAAAAGAAAAATTCCTTCAGCTTCGGTAAGGAAGCAATGAAATTCGCATTGAAAAGTACTGTCTCCTGGAATGAAACGCTATCTCGTAGTCACCAACGCTTCTGAGGACGTTTCTACCTCTATCTTCAGGANCCCGAGCTTCAATGCCAATCCTGTTCTTGCAAACTGTTATGGCCCTGAATATACGTGTATACGAGCCATTCTCCTATCCAGTGGGTACCGGCAGCTCTTTCCACGGGGCTAAAGCGGCCGGGGCCTGAAGCTCACTACTCATCTTCAGCTAGTGCTGAGGTCAAGAAAACATGGATCTGTACATGCACTCCCCCATACGCCTTCATGGTCTAGTGCTTAATTAGCTAAACACAAGGACAACTTTACCTTTACACACACAGGCCTATCCGCAAAGTTGAGCACTCATCACAGATCAGAGATCACGAGAAACTTCCTTAATCTTATTAAGCGCGAATCCCAACAAAATTACATTTAGAAATTACGTTTATAACTAACAGCGACACGCACATTGGTGTGGAGGTGATACACGTAGGCTTGTATTCAGGAGGTGTTCTTTCGAATTTCGACCAGGACACCCGCCCATCTTACTAAGGTTATTCTTGGTTTTCCTTGGTACCTCCATACAAATTCTGGGATATTACCTCGATTAATCCACTTCTGTTTCCTTTCAGATTCTTTCAAATTCATTATGTATGAATCATCTTACCTTACTTACTTACTCATGGAGCTGGGCCCTTCTGGAGGAGCCGTCAATTGTGCAGCTACTCAAGAATTTCTCAGCATTTTATGGAACCCGAATGTTCATTACCTTGTTCACATTAGCCCCCCACTGGTCCCTAGCCTGAGTCAGACCAATCCATTGCATACCATCCCATCCTATCTATCTAAGATCCATTTTAATATGGTCCACCCGCTTACGCCTTTGTCTTCCAGGTGGTCTCTTTCCTTCTGGCTTTCCCACCAATATTCTATATGCATTCCTCATCACCCTCACTCTTGCTAAATGCCTTGCCCATCTCATCCTCCTTCATTTGATAATTCTAATTATACTTGGAGAAGAGTACAAGTTATGAAGCTCCTCATAATGCAGTTTTCTCCGACCTCAAGTCACTTAATATCTCTTCTGTCCAAATATTCTCCCCAGCACTCTGTTCCCAAACACCCTCGGTCTATGTTCCTCCCTTAATGTCAGAGACCAAGTTTCACATCCATACAGAACCACAGACAAAATTATAGTTTTGTACATTCTATTTTTTATGTTTTGGGACAGCAGACGAGAAGACTAAAGGTTCTAGACTGAATGGTAGTAATCATTACCCGAGTTCAATCTCCTCTTAATTTCTTCCTGGATCAGATTTCGATTTGTTATCGTTGTTCCCAAATATCTGAACTGTGCCACATTTTCAAGACATCTGTTTCCTATCTTTATGTCACGATTTTGCCCTGCATTTTGCTGACGAGATAGCAACATATACTTAGAATCATCTTACCACCCCATGGTATATAACATGAAACCCGTACCTCGCAGGAAACACTGGGCCTGCATTACAGAGAACAGTCGGTTAATGCTGTAAAGGTAAAAGTAAAGTTATCCATGGGCACAACGACTCCAAGAAAATGTATAGGGGAGTGGAGGTAAGCTCCACCATTCTTGACGTCGGCAGTAGATGGAGGATAATGGTCAGTTTCACGCCCCTTCTGCTTTACCCTCCGGTAAACAGGTCCCGGTACCAATTGTATAGGAGGCTCTGCTGGCCCCAGAGTCAGTCTGGAATTTATGGAGGAGAAAAAGAAAACTTTTGCCTCTATCGGAAATCGAACCCTAACTCCTCGATCGTCCATTCCATAGCGTAATCTCTATACCGAGATATCCCGACTCACATCGGTTAATTATTTGCAGGGAGTAATTTTTGTTGCTAGGCCACGCCATAGCTCAAGCGGTTAGTCGCTGGCTTCCCACCGCGGCGGCCCCGGTTCGATCCCTGGTCTGGTCAAGTGGGATTTGTGGTGAACAAAGTGGCGCTTGGGCGGGTTTTCTCCGAGTACTTCGGTTTCCCCTGCCAATCGTCATTCCACCAAATTCTCCATCATCATAATCACCCGGGGCAGGCTACAATAGGCCAATCAGTGGCCGCCGTGCCGAGTGGATCCATTTGGACTCCAACCCCCACTAAATTAATTTGATTTATTGTTTGAATAGTGTGGAAACCATAAATACACTCTGGGGGAAAGTGTAGAATTTATTAATGTTAAAGCAGATGGTACGTATATTTACCATTGTGCTGTAAAGAGTTACATGTCCTAAATTAATTCAGACGTAACGTGAAGTCAGGAGAGTAGAGTCAGAATGGGCAGTTCTTTTAAAAGTATTCGGTAACCGCAGAGTCTGCAGATTGTTGAGAAGAATATATATTGAATTTATTGTTCGTTGCTAACGTCAGCTGGATACGAAACTTGCTGAAATTGTTATAATTCTCCCCTCTTCGTCTCCTCTCAAGAGTTATCTCTGTGGAACTAAAAATTCTTCCGTATAATTCAGTACCTTTTAAATATAAGAGCAAATGGAAGTTACTTATTCTTACAAAAGGAAAAGGAAACTATGGGCCAAGAATGTTAAAAATATCAAGTTAAGAAGAAGAAATATTTCCCGCTGAAATATTATTGAGTAAAGCAACTCAACATACAGACCGTCTATTTAAACCTGGCCTGTGGTTTGCTCACAGAAAGCTAGAAAATTATGGTAAGAATTTGCGAGGCAGTGGTTGTAGATGCACTGTTGTATGGATGGGGGCCGACGCTCTGTAAATAAACCTCTGATTAACCCTTATTTTTTCCCCCTTGGCACTACAGTCGCAGTGGGCCTAGGCCTACCTCCATTAACTTTTCCGTTCATTTCGGTTTTCTGAATCTTACACGTTTGGTAGGACTCCTTGGGCGGGTGATCTACCTGTACACAAACACAGAAAAACGCACACACACACACACAAACTAAATATCCATGCCATGAGTGGGATTCGAACCCAAGATCCCGGTTTCCAAGAGAGCGTAGACAGTACA